CATGAATGGCATCACCACCGCTGGCCCTTAGGTCTCCTAATGGCTTTGGGAGGGGGGGCCATAACATCCTGGAGCAACAAGAATACGAGTAGATGAGCATGCTTACACAAAAACTTGAGTGAAATGAGACAGAAGAAATCTTGAGACGAGACAGAAGCTTGAAACAAGTTGAGGCAAAGGAGAAAAGAGGTCTTCAACAGGTGCTCTTTTTCTAACAGGCGGACGGGACCGCCAGGTGCAAAGCGACGGAGTGGCGATGCCAACGGGTGAATGAAAGCTCTGGAAATCTGTACATCGACGTTCCCTAGGGTGAACTGAAAGATGCAAATCATGCTCACTGAGCTGTCCAAGCCTCTCTGAACATGCCAACCCTCCAACATGACACCCTAGGACATATCGGGCGCCTGAATGCGCTCACAAAACCAGCACCAACTGTGCTTGAAATAAGTTTGGCCATACGGCCTAGCTGCATCGCTTTGCGAATTCGGTACAAACGACTTGCAGCTGCACCAAATGACAGCCCGGAGACATACATTGCTTTGCCCACTTGCAAGTCATGGCAGCCCAAACTACTGTGCTTGCAACAAGAGAAGGCCGCCAAAGACCAGTCATGGCAGAATCTGATCAACCTGGAATCACATAGCAGGAATAGGTACCTGGTTACCTGCAACCAGCACCTGCAGCTGCCTGTAAACTTGAAACGGAATCCAGGGAACACTTGCAGCTCTTGTGCAAGCTACTTCTTTACTCCTTCCATCTACTCAGTAAGGTTCAGAAGCCAATTTGTTGCTTGCTCCTTCCTCAGGTCCAAGGCTTTTACAACTGCCTGGCGTGTATTTGCCAAAGCAAGCATCAGAGTTCGCATTGGCTCGTGCCTTCAAAGCCTTTTGAGCAGCATCCTTGTTCTCGGCCTTGCCTAGCCACGTGACAATACAAGTCCTCTGCAAAGCTTTGCCATAGGAGAAGGAGAGGTGCCATGGCAACCTGGGAAACAACTTGTTCATGGTGCTCAAGTTGATGGTTGCCTCTTCCTCGTTGTCTTCATTCCGAGCTGACTCGCCCGACAAGAAGAAGATTCCAGGCATGGAGGCAGGCACAGTGCGCAGCAAAGTTTGGACTGACAAAGTGGCAATGGTCTCAGCCGTGGCTTTTGGGCCACCGAGGCCATTCTTCACCATGTTGGGCTTCAAGACAGCACCCTCCAAATAGATGTGGTGGTCTGCCAGGGCCTTGAACTGTGCAGCCAAAACCTTCTCGGTCATTCGGGCGCAGTAGTGGATGTCATGATCGCCTTAGTGAGCATTGGGTGCGTTCAGCCTCCCCCAAGCCCAGGCCCCCAACCCATCCCATCCAACACATCACCCCTTAGTCCAGTCGTGTTTCCATTGGGTACGATTTCCGGCTCCACAATGGGAACCAAGCCTTCGCTCTGAGAGATCGAGGCATAGCGCGCCAAGGTATGCACACAATCTGCGATCGCCAGCTCGGTGGGCATGTGCTTCGCTGGGTCCAACTGCAGCACGTTGCGCCACTTGGCAAAGCGGGCGCCCTGCTCATAGGCCTGGCAGGAAGACATGCAAAGG